TAAGAATTAATGAAAAGGATGGTTACAGAGAAACCTACAAAGATTTATGTGAACTGAAGCATACTTAAGGGTGTAGAACCAGAAGAACAATTTATACAATAAAAACATTGTAAAGACAAACAGCTTTTAAAATCTGAAGATCTCTGGTCAGTGTAGTGACCCATCACAATTCCAAATGACTGGGCATGAAGCACCTCCTGGCAGAAAGGTGATAGATTTGTGAAGCAGAATAAGACCTGAATTTTTGGACTTGGTTGGCATCAAAATTTATTTTGCTTGAAAATGCATATTTGTTACAAGGATTTTCTTTTTCATTGTGGGGCAGGATTAGTAATAAGGCCCTTCCTCCCACAAAAAGTGAGAAGAGAACAAAAGGAAGGCCAGAAAGAATCACAAACAAGTAGGACAGCTTTGAAAGTTACATATATCGGAATTTATTTTATACTTTAAAAAAAAAAAGGCAAGTCCTACATAATCAAGATTTGTAGTTTCATGTACAGTTCTCTCCTGTTCCATGATGTGAATGGAAATGCTGGTTTTATTTGTTGTCTATTGAGTTCAGAATTATAAAAGAAAATGGAAAAAAATTAAAATAAAAAACAAAACATTTCTTCCATAAACCTGGGACACACTCTCCCACAAATAAACACAGCATTGGTTATTAGAGAAATCACACATGAGAAACATAAAGGGAAAGACACTTATGTAGGCAACTCATGTGGCTGAGGCTCTCATGTATGGATATGTGTAGTAGAAGCACATGTGTCCAGGGGGACACACACATAGTGGCTGCCTTGACACTAGTCTCCTCAGCTCACTGCTTGCTCTGCTGGTCTCCACTGCCTCCAACTCCTTGACTAGGGTGCTGCCTTATTCCTTTAGAAAACAGAAGCTTTCTCCAATTTTATTCCCTCAGTATCTGACTTCTAAGGTCTCCTATCTCCTGAGCAGGCCATCAGCCCCAGGTGCCAAGTTCTTTAGAAAAAAGAGCAGTGTTGTCCCAGTTTGCTAATCACCTTAGGCTTGGTCTTTTCTTTCAGTTTCTCTTCTGGTCACAGGCTCTGTCCCCTGGGACAGAGACCTTATCCTAGCCTATGATGACTATTCAATTTACTTCCCAAATTTTCATTTCTGAAAGCTAGGCTATACAGCAACAGTTATTTGCTTAATAATTATAATAGTTAAGGGTCCTCCAGTTTTTAAAAATCTGTCTCTCCTGTTTGCCAGTGTAGAGGAATAGGCAGAAAAAAAAGGTTGAAAAGGCAAATAAATTTCAGGAGACAAGGTGATTGTCTCTGCTACCTGCTCAGTTACATCCCTGACCCCTTCATATATAGATGTAGCCCAAGTTTGAAAGAGGCTTTGTCCCATACCCTCACAAGTATGAGATGGAGTTATTCTTGTTTTCTTAATTCTCCTTATTTCTTTGTAGAAATTGACCATCAAAAAAATCACATAGTATTGTTTGATTGAAGCTGTGGCAATAGAATCTGTCACCAGAGGATTCGCTTTTCCCAATTCCCACACATAAAGGAGGCTGCAAAATGAATGGAAGCACTTATTAAGCATTTACATTATGCCAAGAATTATTCTACATGTTGGGGATACAAATAATAAATGAGGCAGTTCCTGCCATTGAGGGAAAGTCACAGGAATAAGAGGAGCCCTAGGGGAGTTGATTGACACATGCTTTCCACAGTATTGATTTGATTATAGTCTCTAGAGCAAGAAATAGAAAGAGAGGAGGGAGATGGGATACATGGAAGGCAGGTGGCAAGAAAATGGCCAGCCTGAATGGGATGTGAAGTATAGTCTAGGACTTGCTAAATAGAATGTGCCATCTGAATTTTTGCTCACTCACTCACCAATCCCTGGGGGATGTTTCCAGAATCAAATGGATTAAGTCCCCTAGAGCATAGCCTCAAAAAGTTTGGTGGTCCAGAGGGTACAAATACAAAATCTTAGGTTCATCACTCAGAATCTTCATGACTTATCCCCCTCCTATCTTTCCAGTTTTCTTACAACTTACTCCCTGCCACATACTCTTCAATCCACAAACAAGACACACCATCACTTTGTTCTGGGTGTTTTCTCTGTATGTCCCCTATTCCTGAAATGCTTTCTTTTCTTATCTCTACCTATTGACCTCCCTAGTCTCCTTTAAGTGTCAATTAAAATTTCATCTTCTACAAGATTTTCCCAATCTTTCTTAATTCTAGTGTCTTCCCTGTTTTAATTATTGCCTTCTTATCCCATATATAGTCTTTTTGTATATATTTGTTTGTTGTCTCCTCCATTAGATTATGAGCTCCTTGCAGGCAGGGACTGTCTTTTGCCTCTTTTTGTATCTAGCACAGTGCCTGACACATAGTCAGGCACTTAATACATGCTTATTGACTATATGACTACAAGAGCAAGGTGGGTACAAAAAGATGGACAGTTAGATGAGATTTTAAAAGATTTTCAAAAAATTGTTTTAAACTACGGAAAATCTCTCATCTCCTCAACTCTGCCCCTCCCCCTAAAAAAACCCACTAAATCATTTTGATAAACTATTGCTTTTTTCTTTTTCCCTGTATTACTAGTACCAATAACTGGGCATACTCAAAGCATAGTAATTAATGGTAATATCAGCTTATATTACAGAGATATTTTATATGCAATATCTTCAGTATCTCACAACAGGTATCTCTAGTTGGCAATGAAGTCATATTCAGAGATAATATATGACTTGCCCATGATTACACAGTTAAGACTTAGACTCTTCTCTAAGCTTCACCACTAACTTATGTGACATTGGACAAGTCACCTCACCTCTCTAGTCTTCACTTTCTCACTTCTAAAATGAACAGATTGGAATTGATAATCTCAAAGGATCCCTCTACCTGTAAACATTCTCTTTTCTACATTCCTTTCCAACTCTGAATTTCTGTTTTATGATTGTAAATCCCTTTTCTCCCCTTCTGTGACTTGTAAAAACTTCTTTATCAGAGGAATTGATTCTATTAAATTATCACATCTTTGATTTTATGGAAATGAGCCTTCTAATAAAGACTGAAAAAGAAAAGCCTAATTGCTTCCCAAATAATTATTCAGACTTTCATGACCTGTCAGCAGGGATTAATTAGTAGGTCTCAAATTAACAGCAGCCATCTGTGTCAAGGGGAATTTAGTGATACCTCTCTACCTTGGGGTGGTCTTCAATACATGAACAAGGAAGGGTAATTTTAGGAGTGTGCATCCTAGAAAGAGAAAATTTCACTGCCATTTTAGTGACCTGAAATGGTCACCAGGTGGTAAATGAGCTGTAGTCAAAGATGATAGCTATAGATTTCTGTTCTTTCTTTTATCCTTGACTTTGATAGAGTTCCTGACCATAGAGCAGTGTATCTGTAATGTCATCATGTCTCTTAATATCTTGTCTGATCTCATAGAAAAACTCCTTTGGAAAGATTTAGCAGCTGAATTAGGGGGAATTGATTTCTGGTTCCAGCAGAAGCTGCCACCGGCTAAGGGAAGCTGTATTAATCTTTGTGAGCAAACAGTGAGGAGTTCCAATTTTACTGAACCCATTAACTAATCTCTGTGCACATAGTAATTGCTCCAGCTGCACATGCTGTGGGGGGAAAAACACAAGTGTCCTGGGTCTTACAGAAGGTTCTATTGAAAGTCTTCAAGGCCCAGCTGCAATACCACCTTCTCCAGGAAGCCTTCTGCAATCTCAAGAAGATGATTTCTTCCTACTTGGCATTTCTGATCTGTTTTTTATCATAGCTGTTTTGTTCATATCTTTTCTGTTCCGCTAGGTGGTGCGTCCTCTAAGAGTCAAGCCTTGTCTTATTCATCTTTCTATTTCATTTCTTGCCAAACACAGGACATTGTACATAGTGAACACCAAAAAGTGTTCTTTGAATTGCTGGATTTGAGAAAGTTTTTAAATCAAAGGGGCTAGAAGAATGGAAACATCTTTTTTTATAAAGAACATTAGGGACCATGACCCTGGAGAAAAGCCTCCTTCCCTTCTTTGTAGAAAGGTAGGTTATGGATGTGGAACATTGCATATCCTGTCAGATATGGTTAGGGTGGTGGCTGGACTACTTTTTTTCCTCTTCTATTTTTTTATTTTTGCCTTAATGGGCAGCTCACTGAGCAGGAGAGAAGGAGAACCATATTAAGAAGTAAAGAGGATATAAAAAACAAAAGTATCAATAAAATGCTTTTTTGGAGAATGGGTATTTTTAAGTACTGTATCTTAAAGAGTGAAAAAGGCTCAAGGCTTGAGTCCATGAATCAGAGGAAGCCAATCATTACTGAGCTCTGACCTCAGAGGAAAACTAGCAAAATCAGGCTATACTGCCCAGAGCCAGGAGCTGGCTGTGATCGTCTGTGTGAATGACCAAATCAAAGAATTTTAGAGCTGGAAGGAAACTTAAAACATATAATGTTAGACTTAGAAATCACCAGAGAATGTATAATTTCAGAGACAGAACAGATCCTGGAACATAAAATGTTAGTGTTAAGGGGACATTAGAATCCAACCCCTTCATTATAAAGAGGAAGAATTTGAGAGTTGGAGTGGATAGATGACTTACCTTAGGTCAAACAGTAGGTAAATGGCAGATCCAGGGTTAGAGCCCAAATCTCCTAATACCTAATTCAATGTACCAGCACACCACATCATGTCCTGCTTCTGCCTTCCATGCCCTGGAATACGGCTTTGTTGACAGTTCACAGCTTCAGCCTCCAAAGGGAGATACTATATAGAGGAACCCTACTATAAGAAGCTATTCTTTTTTTTTTTTTAGCTAGGCAATGAGGTTAAGTGACTTGCCCAAGGTCACACAGCTAGTAAGTGTTAAGTGTCTGAGGCCGGATTTGAACTCAGGTCCTCTTGACTCCAGGGTCGGTGCTCTATCCACTGTGCCACCTAACTGTCCCCAATAAGAAGCTATTCTTAATATCACCCCTAACCTGTCTTTTTTTTTCTTGTCTGTGCACAGAACACCTGAAGAAGCGTTTGGAAGATTACATGGCCCAGTTTCCGAGTGTAAGAATCCTCCGAACCAAGAAGAGGGAAGGGCTCATAAGGACTCGGATGTTGGGGGCTTCAGTGGCCATTGGAGATGTCATTACATTTTTGGACTCACACTGTGAAGCTAATGTCAATTGGCTTCCACCCTTACTAGGTAAAGAGGCACAGCAATGACCTGGTGGTTGATTATTGGACAGGAACATAGGCTCTCAGTATCTGGCTCCTTTCTTGACTTATCTTTCTGCATGGATTCAACCAACGGAAACATTTGTTGAACATTCAGTGCATTCCCAGATCTGTGTTGGGCACCATGGTAGATACGTAAACTGTGATCCTTTCCTTCAAGTAACTTACCATCTTGTTGGAAATTGAAGATTAATAGGCCTGAAATTAAAGGGAGGGAAGGAAGTATATAAAAAGGAAAGAAAGAAGGGCAGGGGGAAAAAGAGAAGGGAAGGTTCAATTCTTTGGCCCAGGTATACTTAGAATGAGTCATAAGAAATTAACCTCATTTCCTTCTTTAACAGGGATTTGTTGTTAACAGGGTTACTTGACTAATAATTCACGCAGATACCATAAACATGGTATTCCCGGATTTAAGCAAGTTATTTGTATGATTTGGGAATTCATAATAGCCTGAATAATCATATTCAAGAAGTGGTGATTAATAAATCAGTGTCATCTGAAGGGAGGTCTTAGGTAGACTGCCTACAGACAAAGCTTAAATGGGAGGGAGCACAAGATTGGAAAAGAGAGTCGCTATTCAACATTGTTATCACTGTTTTGGATCTACGCAGAGATTTGGCCTCTTTAACAGATTTGCCAATGACAAGGAATTAGGAAGTAGGTTTAATATGTTGGAAGACAAAATAAAGATCTAGAAAGATCTAAACAGTGAAATGATGATCGAGATGCCATTTAACAGGGATAAACAAAAAGTCCTACCCTTCAGCTCAGAAATCATAAGAACAGGATACAGGAGATAGGGTTCAGTAACCATTTGTATGGGGAGAAAAATGAGGATTTTAGTAACTCTGGGCTAAATAGGAGTCAACAATCTGATGTATCAAATTAAAAAAAAAAAAACACCAACGGTATTTTATAGAGATGGTGCTTACCAGGAGGAAGTGGGGACTTGATGTCCCTTCAAATACAAAACTCCTATTATTCTGTGATTATAAGTACTTTTAGAAGGACATGAGAGAAAGAGATGATAGAAGCCTGCTCTATGGTAGTATCAATGAGCATGGAGAACATATTTGAAAAACATTTTGTAGAAATAAGCAGAAAGTCTTGGTGATTAATGTAGAGGAACAGGGGAAGTTGGAGATTACAGCGTTTGCAACCTGTTTAACAGAGATAGGGAAGTTGGCAAGAAAGCTAGTTTGTCTGAATGAGAATGATTTCAGTTTGAAGTATATTTAGTTTGAGGAAAAGATGTACATTAGGCACTAGAACTCAAGCAAGGAACAGGACTAGAGAGCTAAATTTGATGGTCGTTAGCATAGAACTCATAGTTGAAGGATAAGCTCTATAAGTCAGAGTATTGAGAGAGAACAGAAGATTAAGGATTTGGCATTGTAGAACAGTCCATATTTAGGGGGCTAAGTGAGGGAAAAGAACCCATAAAATATAATAGGGAATGTAGAAGATTTGCTTTCTAATACAACTCAGGTGAATATCTGTCACCTACTTATGAACTTCTAGCCCCAAATGTCCAGTGTTTCAGTATACTGGGTGAAAGATAAAGCCCAGTACAGGGGTAGGGAACCTGCTGCCTCACAGCCACATGTGGCCCTCTAGGTCGCAGGTTGCCCACCCCTGGCCCAGTATTTCTAGTAAATATTGTTCATTTAATTAAACCCAGAGAACATATGCATCTGCCTCTCATTACAAAAACACACATCATTCAATTGCATAATTTATAGTATTTTAAAGGAGTTAAGGCATTGTGGGGTCATTCAATGGCTCATAAAGAGAATTTAGTGGTATGACACAAAGCTAAACTTCTAGTCTAAATAGTACTTAACTATGTTTCTATGGAAATATATGAGGGTAATTTTTATAATCAGCAAACACACATGGAAAAATCATTCTTTTTTTCCACAGATGATGTGCCATGAGTGTAGACATAAGGCTCTCTCCCCACTAGTCCTAAGGAACATTATAGATGGGGTCATAGCTTTCATCCATAAAGCCATAATGTTGTTCTACATAATTCAGATTGTCATCTTTTAAGACCAGCAGTAGGAGATTACTTCCAGACCTGAAGAGTCAATCATCCAACAGAAAACCACTATTAGTAGAAAAATATATAGTTATCTCTTAAATTTCTGTTGCACTTTATGACTTAAAAAAATCTTGCATAAATTGGCTCATTTGCTCCTCACAACAACCCTATGAAATGAATAATGCAAGTACTCACGTCACCATTTAATAGAGGAGAAAACTGAATAATTCAGTGCCTGGACTGAGGCCACACAGAGAGTGAGAGAGCCTGAACCCAAATCTAGGCTTTCCAGCACATCTAGTGCTCTTTCCACTACTTCACCCTCTTTCCCATAGCAAGTTCAGCCCAGCCCTGCCATTCCAGAAGGAAAGGCATAAGAGCGTTGGCATAGCTTTTGAAGCATTGGTCTAGTCCCTCATGACAATTCCTCTGCATCTGATAATTTATTGTAAGCTTCCTAGATTTATTTGTTTGATACATCAATTGGGTAGATCAAATATTGTTTTGTACATACTTCCTCAGATAGCTAATTTGTGCTAGTGATCTCATTCATACAGTTTATCAAACACCTTCCTTAAAAGAGCACTATGAGTTAGGGAATGCTGTTGTCATCATCATCATCATCATCATCATCATCATTATTATCCCCATTTTACAAATAAATAAACTGAGGCTCAGAGAGGGGTAATGACCTGCCTATAGCCACATGTAGTTACAGCAACTACTTGAAGCCTCTCTGGTACTATGCCAGCCAACCTAGTTAATAAAATTGAGGCATAGACAAACTCAAGCACTAGTTGAATAGCATAAGGAAATCATTTTTAAGATACCTGTAGGTATTATAAATCTCCATGATAAAAGGGATCTAAATTTGTTCCTTAATAAATGTTTCTCGGCCTCTTCAGACCGCATCGCTTCGAACCGAAAGACCATCGTGTGCCCGATGATTGACGTGATCGATAACGATCACTTTGGGTATAAGACACAGGCCGGGGATGCCATGCGGGGAGCATTTGACTGGGAGATGTATTACAAGAGGATCCCCATCCCTCTGGAATTACAGAAACCTGACCCCAGTGATCCATTTGAGTAAGTGCATGAAACTCAGCCTACTTATTTGAGTCTGACCAAAGTTCCTGCCACTCTGGCAGTAAATCGGAAAATCATAAGATCATAAACTTAGAGTTGGGACGTGAGACATCATCAAGCTCAAGTTCTTCATCTTTCAAATGAGGAAACTGAGACCCATAGAGTTTGTGATTTTTGTTCAGGATCATACAACAAGTTAAGTATCTGAGGAGTGATTCAAACTCAGTCTTCCTGACTCCAAGTCCAACACCATTCTCTCTCTCAAATGAATTAACAAAGTGTGAATCCATGTTCTTCCACCAATACCTAAAATAAGTCGTTTGCAACCAGATGATTGGGATCTGCTAATTGAGCTTAAAGGTTGGCCAACCATCTCTAATCTTAATCTACAGTTTCCCTGTTTTGCTGGGTCTCTCCATATTTATGATAGCACTGCCCCCTCCCCTGCCTTTCCCAAAGCCTTTATTGTCAATAATACAACTCCTTCCCACTTTTCTTTCCCAATCTCCAACATATTGACATTAATGGGAAATGAAAAGTAGCTGCTTTTCAGAAACAAATGGGAGACCCCCAGTCTAGTGAGTGACTTTTGTCTCCTCCTTTTCTAGCCTGACTGCTCTCATCATCTCATCCCTTCTGCAATATCCCTAACAGAGTAGCTGCTGGTCAACTTCTGTTTCATCAGTTCTAGGGACAGGGAGCTCATGACCTTCCAAGATAACCCATCCCATTGCTGGGGAATTCTAATTGTCAGGAAAATTCTTCCTTGTACTCACTGAAATTTGTCTCCTGGTAACTTTCCTTTTACTAATCCTAGTTCTGCCATTTAGGACCAAGGAAAACGGTTCTAATTCCTCTTCATGTGATAGCTTGTCAAATACTTGAAGACAGTGACTATCTCTCTTTTTTCTTCACACAAAATATTCTTAATTCCTTTAATCAATCATCTTAGAAATTTCTGCTTCCCTTAGTGTCAAACACATGGCCTACAACACTTCAGAGTAAGTACATCCTGAACCAGATTAAAATGTAATTGGGAAATATTTAACATAATAAATAAAATAAAACATGGATAACATTACATTTTAAAACTAAATCAGTATGTGGCCCACAAGGATCTGTACAGAAGGACTAGTGGCCTCTGTTTCTATTTGAGTCCAACACCACTGGTCTGCATCATAATCCACATATAAATATGGTAAAACTCAATTGCCTGGAATACTTACGACATAGATTGTTCTAGTGACTCGAATTTTCTGGGGAATTGAAAGTTAATTTTAACCCTAGTTGTTGGGAATCTTTGTGAAACAGCTGAGACTATTTTCCCATCCTAATTAGCAAAATTAGAGTATGAATGCCATTCATTGGTGATTAGGAATCTTGCAGAGGCTCTGGCTCATAATGATGGTAACAACTCATTTCTGTACCACTTTATATTTTACAAATAGTACAAGCATCATTACCCCCATTTTGCCAAGGAGGAAACTAAGGTTTAGTTGAGGTGAGAGGTAAGATGACTGGACAACAGGCAACAGAGCTGGGTCTTCCATCTCAAAGAGAGTTCTTTCTACTATATTTCTTATCATTTTGATCCTTAATTATGGCTATACAGCACTGCAGATATAGCTTCAGAAGGTATATGAGATTGAGTGGCATGTGTAGTAACCCCAGGAAATATCTATTTGGATATCTTTATCTATATAGAGACTATCAATAGGTAAATAGCTATCTATGTGTATATGTAGATAATAATAATAACTTGTAATAATAGCAGCTAACATTTGCTTACTATGTGCCGGACACTGTGCTAAGTGCTCTACAGTGGTCTCATTCAATCCTCACAACAACCCTGGGAGGAGATGCTATTATTTATCCCCACTTTACATATGAGGAAACTGAAGCAAACAGAGATTAAGTGACCTGCCCAGGGTCACATAGCTAGTAAGTGTCTGAGGTCACATTTGAACTCATGTCTTCCTGACTCCAGGCCTGGCATTCTATCCACAGTGCCACCTGGCTGCCTTTTATTAATCTATGTAGGATATAAAAATAGATCTGCATAGGTCTCTTTCAATATAAACATCAGTACATATGAAGTCAAACTTTGGTTTTAGGAAAAAAATATCCGTTATTTGAAAATACTCACAAGTTGAAAGACTGTTGGAGCTGGAAAGTGCCTTAGAGTTCTGTGTCCAGTTTTAGTTCCACGTATTAAGAAAGGTATTGACAAGCAATCCATAATGAGGTGACCCAAATGGTGAAAGAACTGGAGACCATGCCATACAAGGACTGATCTGGAGAAAAGATGATGTATTAAAGGGGATGTGAGATTTATTTTCAAGTATTTGAGAGACTGAATGGGAGATCATTGGTAAAAGTGGAAAAGCAGGAGATTTAGGCTTGATATAAGGAAAAGATTCCTTATCATTACAGCTGTCCAAAAGTAGAATGGGCTGATCCAGTAAATAGTAGGATTTCAGTGATGTTATTCCAAGGTTGGGAATTTGCCCCAATTTGTTGAGAATGTTGTAGAAAAGATTCCTGATCAAATGTAAGCTGACCTAGATGGCCTCTGAAGTCCTTCCTGACTGAGATTCTGTCGTTCTTTGAGTTCATTGAGTCACAAGATCATAAGACTTAGAGCTGGAAGGAAATGGTAAAGGTTTCTAGTCCAAACCTCATTTTGCAGAGAAAGAAATGGAGGCCCAGAGAGGGAAAATAATTTGCTGAATTTCACACAGTACTACCATTTAGTTAGTGGCAGAAGTAGGCCTAAAACCCATTTTTTCCTGACTTGGCTGAAGAAGGATGAAGGATAAGATAGATATCCCTGTAAAGTAGGGATAGCCCACAAAATAGGATATCCTGCTTTAAAGAGGAGACAAATGAAGCCCAAGAAGGTTATGACTTGGCAAACTAAGTTAGAGATAAGACTAGAGCTAGAAACGATCTAACTCCTGGTCCAGCACTCCCTTCAGTATGCTTTTACTGTCTCCTTTTGGAAGAATCCTTTCTGTCATGGTTCTTTTTTTTTTCTTTTGCTGTAAATGTTAGTGTTGCTGTGTGAAGTCTTAGTAGTTGATTGGGTTTTAAAAGGACATTTAGGGGGACACAGATACTCCATGGGTGGGGATAGAATTGGAATTGCCACCAGATCATTTTGGTTAGGGCAACTAAGTGGTACAGTTAATAAAGCATCAGGCCTGGAGTCAAGAAGACTCATCTTCTTGAATTCAAATATGGTTTCAAAAAATTAACTAGCTATGTGACCCTGGGCAAGTCACTTAACCCTGTTTGCCTCAGTTTCCTCATCTTTAAAATGAGCTGGAGAAAGAAATGGCAAATCACTCCAGTATCTTGCCAATAAAACCCCAAAGGGGGTCATGAAGAGTCAGACGTGACTGAACAACATCATTTTGGTTTGAGAATTTATTTTTCAAGGGGGTGGTTCAGATGTCTCTAAGGTGGTGGTGGTGATGATTTTTACGGGACTGTCTGTGCATTTCAGTTATATGTCATGTTGAGACCCATTTCCCCCTAACAGGTCTCCTGTAATGGCTGGAGGACTATTTGCTGTGGATCGAAAGTGGTTCTGGGAGTTGGGAGGGTACGACCCTGGCCTGGAGATCTGGGGTGGAGAACAGTATGAAATCTCCTTTAAGGTGAGCAACTGTCTCTCAAAGTCCTTTTGTCCTTACAACCAACTAGCAATCTGCTGCAGTAACCCACTGGATATATATATATATATATGTATGTGTACATATATATATCTGAGTCTACCCAATCTCTAGCATGTATGACAGGTGCCAGACTCCCTGGGGCCAATCAGCCCCAGTGCCCAGACAAGATTCCTTATTTTGGTATTCTAGGCCCTCCATTATCTGGCCCCAACCTACCTTTTAATTAAGTTCAATTCAACAAGCATTTATTATGGGCAAGGCACTGTGCTATGCACAATCTAGTTGTATTTCTTGTTATCCTTTTCCAAGTACGCTACTCTCCATTAAACTGGACTACTCTCTATTCCCCTGAATATATCCTATACTTCCCATCCTGCACCCCTTTGATCAGGCTGTTCCTTCTACCTGAAATTCTTCCTTTTCTCTCCCATTAGCTCTTCCCCCATCTGCACCCCCAGCCAAAACCATGACATCCTAACCAACCTTCAAGACCTAGCTTAGATTCTACCTCTCTGGGAAGTTTCACCAGCTCTTCTCTCCCAACTAAAATCAAATTTGTATTATATTGAACTGTGGCATCTTCCTTACCTGATTATATCTGACTATACATTCCTTACATTGAAGACAGAGATCATTTCTAAGGTATTTTTGTACATCGCTCAGAACCAGACACAGTGCATTACCCCAGTAAATACTTGATAAATGTTGAAGGGAGGAAGGATGGCAGAATCAAGAAGCAAAAATACACAGAATGTTTTGAGATCGATTCATGAGGAATACAGGGTACAGTTTTGGTATCTTTTTGCTCTCTTGAGAATATCTGTCACCACTTTATAGACAGCAAGATAGGATAGGCACCTTTCTTCATGTGAAGATGATGTGTTTTTAAAATATCAGAGCTGGAAGGGATCTTGAGGTGGTGGAGGGAATAGAATTCTGGTGCGAGTGAGGAAGACCTAAGTCAATATCCTGCCTCGGACATTCATGAGCTATATGACCCTGGGCAAGTCCCTTAATTAATCTCAACTTCAATTTCTTTATCTATTTGACATTATGTAATGTCAATAATAATAGCACCTACCTTCCAGTGTGGTTTTGAGAATTAAATGTGATAACATATTCAAAGCACTTTGAAAACTTTTAAAGCACTACATAAATCCTGACTGTAAACTTCCCGAGAACTAGAACCAGACCTGTTTATTGGTATCTCCCAGCACCTAGCATAGTTCTGGTTACAGTAAATGGCTTCATAAATAGAGCCATACAACATTAAAGCTGGAAGGGGCCTTACTTTGATTGTCCTCTGAACTGATTGGTATAGATAGGTACTGCCTTCACAGATGCTGATATCAGCTCATGCAAGGGAACTCATCCTCTGCAGTTTTGGTCTCTGTCCTTCCACAAATCCTACAAAAAGTATCTGTCCAACATGTTTGGCCTTTCTGTATATCATGGGTTTAATCATATAAATTCTTTTAACCATATAAATTCTTTTGTGAACACCAATGCTATCCAATTCATCAGCAATTTATTAAGCATTTACTGTGTGCAGGCTGTGGTGCTGTGTATTGGAGATACAAAACAAAAATCAAAGTCCCTGCTCTCAAGAAATTTACCTTCTCTTGGGGCAGAACTCGAGCTGCTGGTCTCTTAGCTCTGGCTCTCCCTGCCTCAATTGTAGAGATTATAAAATCCTTTAGTGTTTGTAGCATGCTTTGACTACCATTATATCATTTGATCCTGACAACAGTCCTATGACTACAGGTCCATTTTACACATGGAAAACTGGGGGTAAGAGAGGTTAATAGGCAATTAATAAATGCTTGTTGATTTGTTGGTTAATTGGTTGACTTCTCCATAGTCACACAGCCAGTAAGTGTCAGGGATGAGATTTGAGCCCAGCTTTCTCCTGACTTCAAGTTCAGCATCTTTTCATGTTTTTTCCATGTGGTCTAGCAGCTGCCTCTACATGACCAGTCTAATTCATTTTCCATTTATACATTTCATAGATAATGTCTTTTTTTAAGCACTTTTTGAACATGATATGCTATAGCCTACTTATCCCCATCGTGTGTCTTTGCTTTCTGGATAACTTGCAATTCAGAGTCTTTTAAGACCATCGTGGTCTATTTTTTACAACCAAATAGAAGCACCATGAGATTACTGGTGTGAAAAAAAATGGGCTTTAGTTTCAGCATGCAGGTTGGAATCATTGAACACCCACTGTCTTCCTACTATTAAATTCTGGATCCACCTCACTCTTCAGCTTCAGCAGCTGTCCAAGATATATGGCCTGATGGACTACGCTTCCAACTTCACGTCATGTGGGCAAATCATTCACATGATTTTTCTTGTGTGGATTCCTAGACCATTCTCATTTGAATGGCCGTGGATCTCATTGAAGAGGCCTTCTGGTGTTCTAGGCTTCTGCGTCATCTGCAAACAGGAACATCTGCAGAGCCTCATCATTCTTAGGCAATCCTCTTTCTATTTAGACTTAGCCCAGGACATGCTACATTACAATAGCACATGTCTTTGGTAAGTATATCTCCCAGGTTTATGCCTCAGTTGATATTGATAATCAGAGGATTATTAAGCAAAGTTATCTCTTGGTTACCTTTATCAAGGAATCCTGTATAATTTTAACATAAGCATAAGGGATATAATTTTGGAGTAGATCTTTTAAGGCTTTGTTTTATGCTTCCAAAAGTTGTTTCATAATAAGCAAAAAAAAAAAAATATTGAGGGATCCTATATCTGCTGCTCTTTTTAGTCAATTGCAAAGTCACCCACTGGGCAGCTAGGTGGTGCAGTGGATAGAGCACCAGGTCTGGAATCAGGAAGGCCTGAGTTCAAATCTGACCTCGGACATTTACTAGTTGTGAAACCCTGGGTAAGTCCTTTGACCCTGTTTGTCTCAATTTCCTCATCTTTAAAATGAGCTAGAGAAGGAAATGGCAAATTACTCCATTATCTTTGCTGAGAAAACCCCAAATGGAGTCACAAAGAGTTGGACACAGCCAAAGTGATTCAACAACAAAAAAGTCAGCCATTGCAAGGAATCATCTGAAAATATCTGCCATTCCCCCACCTCACCCTCAACAGTAGTGTTCAAGATCCTTGATCTTATTTTTATCTTTGTATCCCCAGCATCTGTCATTTAGTAGACACTTATTAAATCTTTGTTAAGTGAATGAATTTTCACCACAGATCCCCCCAATATGTTCATAGACCATTCTCAGAAAGATTTTATAGGGATGAGAAAGTAGGCATATGGATAATTACTGATGTCTTCTTGGTTGCCTTTTTTTGGTGATGATATTATTTCTGGTCTTTTCATTTTTTTAAAATCTTTCTTTGGGAGATCTTGAAAATCATTCCCAGATTGCATTTAAAACTATGTTACCCCTCCTTTTGACAGAGAGGTAATAAACTAGAGGCACAAGAATGATATGTGCATTTTCAGACACAGCCAGTATGTGAGTTTGTTTTGTTTGACTAGACTTATGTGTTGCAGTGTTGGTCTTTTATTTGAGGGGGGGATAGATTGAGGGAGGCCAAAGGGCCATAAAAAAAAGACAGAAAAGAGCATCAATGATCCTTTTAAAATGCACCAAAAAGAGCAGAAGGAAATTCAAAGGAGACTTAGACGAGCAGGGCAATGATCCTGTTAAATTTAATGTATACTTTGTAAAAAGCTGTTTGTAATAGAGATTCATAGTTTCATGTGCAGTCTTCTTTTTCTTTGTGTGAGGAAATGTTCATATTAGGGTTTTTAAGTTCATTTTTAAAAGAAAAATTACAAATAAATAAAATACAGTTGTGCCACCTTAAACACAGATTTCCTCTCTATTTGTTTAGTCAGGTGTACCTGTTCTTCATTTTATTTTCTGAACTACCATTTCTATTCCCTCAGCCCATCAGATACCCAGGTGCTAGAGTCCAAATATGCTAGGTGCACTGTCAAAAAGGGTGAGAACAAGTTGTTGTGAAAACTCAAGGCAGACCCCTATTTCATATCTTTTTGTTGTCCTTTCCAGGTTATTCAGATAACAAACTCAAAATGATCTGACTTATTTAGGACTTAAGCTACACCATCACATATTCACTTCTTCTGCTGTTCTTCTTAGCATTTATTAAGGTGATAATACCAATAATTTTATGTATCATCTTCTATCATAATGTTTTTCAAATGAACTTTTGTTCCAAACTGGTGCTGCCATTGGTTTTCATGTTTCTCCACTTGACAAGGAAACCAAGCACTTGCTAGCTGCATTAGTTTCTGAGATCTTTTGGTCTCCTGGTTGTGGTGATTGTTTTGTATACGTTCTCTAAGTTATGGTAATAATTAGAATAAGTGTTTTTACTTTTATGCATTTCCCATTTTTCAGAATCAACAACTTGTTTCGATAGGCCATAATTGCATACATGTCTTCTCATCTTTATCCTTTCTTTCAATTTGTTAATTTTGACCTTTGGTCTAACAGTTTATTGATCTAACTATATGCAGACAGCTGATTCTGATAGGACTCCCACATTGGCAAACAGTCTTCCCATCTGTTAAGAAAGTCAGTTTAATTTTTCTGTAGTATTCTTTGGTACTCACAAAACCTTCTAATGGCCTTCATAAAAAAAAATATTTATAATATGCTGGCATGACACTTCTGAATAATTTGCAAGCCTTTGCCTTCTTTCCTTTCTCCTAAACCATATTTTCCAGAATATCTTTCACTATCTTGTTTTGTAGTCACCTTCAATTTAAAGCTACCAAGTATCAAAATATGTATTGACTTAGTTTGGGGTAGGGGTTAATTAACCTGGGGTCAATGAACTTGTTTATTTACTTTAAAAAAAAAAGACTTTATTTCAGTATAATTGGTTTCCTTTGCAATCCTATTTTTTTTAATTTTATGCATTTAAACATACATTTATTTAGAAACATTCTAAGAAGAGGTCCATAGGGTTTACCAGACTATTAAAGG